GTTTTGTCTGTGTCTCAGAGTAATCAGGGGGCCAGGAATCAAGACGAACAGACACGGATTAACAATCCCCATCAAGAGAAAGCCAGGTTCAACTGAATGAGGATATTTCTTTTAGGCTGCTCATTTCTAGACCTGCTTGGGATTCAGAAGGAACTCTTCAGACGTCCATACTTACCTACCAACAGCAAATTCACTTCCATTAGCTGAAAATTCGACTTTGGTGGGAAGACAGACCACAGCACTAAGGAAATTTCAACATGGAATAGAGTAGAAACAGGATTTCTCTTTGCAGCTAATATTTTTATAAGATTTTTCATGATCTTTGATTACAGTGGGTGGCTCACATTTTCCCTACTACACAGAATTCAGAGCACCATAATGATGGCATGCATTGCGGCAACAACCAATACTGTCTTAAACTAAAGGTGGTATTAAGTTGGAACAATGTAAGAGTGTTTTACATAGAAATTAATTTAGACTTCTAATCACCTTGATTCGGAAGCAGTGTCCTGTCTAGTACAACAGGAAAACAAGGAATGGTATTAGCACACAGAGAGAGGTACAGGCTCCAAATCAGGATTGAAATGAAAAGGCAATGCTATTAGGCAATCAGTAAATCAATTACAGGTATTTCAGTAATGAGCCACAATGAATAGTTATGTTATTTTTATCAGAAAATTATAGAAGCAACATTGTACTATGAGATTTTTCATCAGCAAAAATCTTATTTTTTACTGAAAATTTTATAAGTGAATAGAAGAAAGGACTATTGCACCTTTTTTACTATTATTTACTTTTGACCAATGAACGCATTTCAATGCAGATAATTTTTGAGATATAAGCTTATAACATAAGTATCAATTATAAAGAGTAACAGAGATGCCTGTTGACAGGGAAGATATACATGGTGAACAGATATTATAAAAATACATCATCACAAAGTTATTATGTAACTACTAAACTACTGCATAACACTAAATTTTGAAAAATTAATCTGAAGTAAGGTAAAACAAAAAAATACTTCTTTCTTTCTTTTAACATTTTCAATGCTGTGCAAATCAATCTAGTAACCAACAAACCATGATATTAAAAAGATCTTTGCTCCTTTCCCTTAGCCTGTGTAAAAACAGCAACCCAACCTGCCTTCAATAATTCAGCAGAGTGGCCCTAGAGAAGGACATCTAACCTGAATTCAAAATTTTAAATTAATATGCTTTGTAAAAAGTAACAATACTATTTGGCTCCATCCCCCCATCCTAGTCCTTATTTGAAATGCTTATTTTAGAGATCCATTGTATGGAATCGATAGGATAGTAGGTACTCAAGTGACAAGAAAATTATAATTGATAAAATTATGAATCTCGTCCCTCATTTTTCTGAATAGTTCCAGCTCTCATGATAATTGTGTATGATGTTCTTTCTGCTAAGAAACCACTGATTAATATTGTGTTCTTAAACATTCTTGTTCTTAGGAAATACACTCTAAAATATTAAAATGATATGATGCATGCAACCTCTAATAAATGGCTTAGAATAAAAAAATGTATGTGAGGATAGACATATGTTTATATATAATTGTACCTAAATGGACAAAGAATGATAAAGACAATGTAGCAAAATGTTAAAAACTGGTTAATCTGGGTAAAGCATTAACAAGACGACTCTCTAATATTGTTGCATCTTCTAAAATAATAATTAAAAAATCAGCAAACATTCTCTCAAAGATTGCAGCTAGCGCATTTATGTCTAAGTGATTTGCTAGCTGAAATAAGCCTATTAAAAGTGTACTTTGTCCAACAATTTTACTTCTGTGTACATATCATCAATAATGCATATGCAATGCAACTAAAGACACGAACATAAGAGTCAAGACAGTAGCCTTTTCAAAGCCAAAAACCTAGACCAAAATACACATCCACTCACAAGGGAATGGATAAATTGTGAACTAGTATGTAGAATATAATCTAGCAATAAAAATCAATGAAGCACATGTAAAAACAGAAATGAACTTCACTGGCTAATGTCAGTGAGAGAAGTCAGATATAAAAGAATATAAGCTGTAGCATTCCATAGCGATAAAGCACAAAACCAGGCAAAACTGATATGCAGTTTGAGGTCAGCATGGGGCCAGTGGCTGGGTGGGAACAGGAGAGGCACTGCAGAGCTGCTGGTAACATTCCATTTTTTAACTGGTGTGGGATGACATGGTGGTATTCACTCTGGGTTCATTCACTGAGCTGTATGCTTAGGGTTGGGCTACTTTTCAATGAAAAGTGTTTGTTTGTTTGTTTGTTTTTTAAGTATACTTTTGGCCTACTTATTCTAATCTATGCTGTCACACCTAAAAAGTATAGACAAGTGTATAAAAATACTCTCTTATACAATGGCTAGGGACAGTGACATGGCAAAGCAAGCTAAGCCACGGCCTGCAATGCCAGTACGCTGCATCAGAGCACAGATCTGAGTCTCAGCTGCTCTCCTTCCTATCCATCTTCCTGCTAATGTGCCCGGGAAAGCAGCAGTTGATGCCAACAGTACTTGGACCCTTGCTATCCACGTGGGACACCCAGATGTAGTTCGGTCCCCTGGTTTTATCCAGGTCCAGCCCTGGCCACTGCAGCCATTTCGAGACTGAACCAGATAATGGAAGAGTTCTCTCTCATCGCCTCTCTTTCCATCCTTCCTTCTCTCTCTCTCTCCCCCCCTCTTTCTCAAATGAATCTTTTAAAAAATGAAGAAAACAGAATGGCTTTTAATAATCCTACAAAACTTAAAGTTCTCAACATGTTTAAATATAGTCCTTTAAATAACACAATTACAAAAAGGTGAAACTTTCCAACAGAAAAATAATGTGCTTTTCCCTGCTGACTTCCATTGTCTTTCTAATTCTAATGAGGTTCCAGGAACATGGTAAGTTATTGGCAAGAAGAATACCTACAACTAAGCAGCAAGTCCTAGAAATAAACGATATCAGGGGCCGGCACTGTGGTGAGTGGGTTAAGCCTCCACTTGCAGCACTGGCATCCCACAGGGGCACTAGCTCAAGTCCCGACTGCTCCTCTTCTGATCCAGCTCTCTGCTGTGGCCTGGGAAAGCAGTAGAAGATGGCCCAAGTTCTTGGGCCCCTGCAGCCACTTGGGAGACCCAGAAGAAGCTCCTGACTCCTGGCTTCGGATCCACCCACCTCCATACGATCATTTGGAGGAATGAACCAATGGATGGAAGACCTTTCTCTCTGTCTCTCCTTCTCACTGTCTCTAACTCTATGTCTCAAATAAATAAAATATTTTAAAAAAGCAAATGGATGGTACAATCTAATTAAAAAAAGAAATAAGTGAAATCATGTTAAACAACATAAATAATCATGAAAAAACAAAGTCACTGCTTTTGTTCTCTACATCCTAGTCACAGCTAACCTTTGACCTTCTCCATAGATACTGCCAATTGTCACTTTGAGGCATGATTCTGTTTCAGGAAGGAAACTGTGATCCTCCAATGTTCCTGTTAACTAGCATAACAATGAGAAACAATAGGTTGCATTGAAAGTGTTGCATTCTTTTTAGGACGAAGTATTAGGCAGAAAAGGCAAACTGACATTTTCATACATCTACCTTCTTGTTTCCCTCAGTTCTACTTTTTTGTGACTGTCTTTAAAATTTCTCCCATAAGGTCGCTCGTGAAAACCCTTTGAAATAACTTCATCATCTACTTCCTCCACTAGAAAAATCAAATTCAGTGGTTAAACACAACAACTATATTTAAGTCAGAGGAAAGCTAAAATTCAAAATTATAACAATCATTATCAACTATCTTCCTTGGAGTAAAAAAAAAATAATGGCACACGTGGACAAAAGATACTCAAAGATCACCAAGGACCGATTTACTGTAACTAGCTCATTAGGGTCACCTAGTTACATGCTAACATTCAGAATTTTCTAAGTCTAAAACAAGGAGGCAAAACGATATCCAAGAAGCTGTTAAGGCACATAGGCTGGTTGATAGCCCATAGTACTCTCCTTGACTATAACATCACCAATTATCAAACAGCTAAAAACCAACTGTTCATCAGCAAGACAGACACTGTGCAGAATTAAATGGAATACTACACAGCGCTAATAAAGGATGAGTCAATCTAGACAGGAAAACAGGAAAGAATTCACTAACTTTAAGCTGGCAGCAGTCCCTTTTGAGGACTTAGTTCACCACCTCCCAGAGGCTGCCACCTAAGATCTGAGTGATCAAAATAGTTTCATGTATAATTTTAAATTTTAAAATGAACTAATTCTCTAAGCACTACAATATCTAGCTTTCTGTAGCTAAAAGAGCAAGCAACAAGATTTCCCCATGCTGGGGAAAATCAATAAAAAGGAAACATAATGTCTACCAGCTTCAAGCCATCTCCCATGTCATCAGACAGCTGCTCTCAGTGTAGTCCTGTACTCATTATATGATTTGCACTGAGATTCAGAAAGGTCTTTCTGTAACTGAAAAATCAAAGACATGCCTAGGAAATATTAATATTAGTAATATTTCTAAAAAAGTTAAAAAAATTACTTAAAAGCAAAGACATTGTATTTATCACTTTCTTATAGTTCTTTCAATCAGTGGCCTTTGGATTCCATATAACAGGTCTAGAGAGGCTAAGAAAAAACATTGTGTGATACAGAAAGTTTACTTAACTTATATTAGTACCAAGCCTTGCTCTAAACAATACCAAGCTTAGACTCTGGCATCTGAGGCAAAGAAAGAAACAAATTATTCAAAAAAGTGTATTTGAGAAAGACAATCCCACCATCAAAAAAACTTTGAAGCTACTGTTTTAAAAAGTTTGCTTAAAAAAATTAATTGGAACTGAAACCAACATATTAGAAATAGATTAGAACACGCACAGCATAAGGATGCATAAACGTCACTCCAAAGTTAATCAGCTACTTTTTAGTAACATATCAGTACATCACTGCAGAAAATTTTGCTTTGCAAACCGAGGACACTGATCTCACCTGATTTCATGTTCATACTGTGGGGACAGTCTACCTGAATTCTGGTAAAAGCTTTTCAGGAAAGAGGGGGCAGTGAAGGAAGGGGCAGAGAAGGAAGTATGGAGACTTGGAAGACTGGAGGAAGAATTACTCTCCTTTTGTATGCGTCGAACTGATGAAAGAATGCTGAATACAGAAAACACAGCAAATTTGTCTTAATTTATATTTCAGTAAAACCTTCATTCACTATGAAAAAGCATATAAACAGGTTCTTCCTATTCATTTAAGCTTCCCCTTAAACACTCAAGGCTGTATCTTACACGAAAAAAGAGCATGCAGTTGTCTGTTTTGATGACTTTGACCAAGGTTCACTCTGAGGATTCAAACCCCTCATCTACGTGGCATTTCTAACCATCTGTGTTTGTCTCTAAAAAATTCTAAACAACTTCAGGACAAAAAGTGTTTGTTTTTACATGCAAAAGACACTTCAAGGGAAAAAAAAGTAGGAAAGCACAAATAATTACAGGAAACAAGTTCCAGAAGGGAAAAGTGATTATTAGTAGTTCAAAGACTGACTATTTTAAAGATAAAAACCCTTCTAAATATTTAACAACAACACATCTGGTTGTTGGAAGCCATCATAATACCTTTGGCTAGAAACCATTAATGCCCACGCTCTAGCCTGAAGCCTGTGGAACGGTACCACTATGGTTTAATCCAACGTCTTGACCTCTCACATGGCTTTTTTTTTTTTCAAAGAAGATTCTCCAAATAGAAAGGTTTTACAATGACACAGATAACTCTCTATATTGATAGGAAGTGTCTGAACAGATACATTATAAAACGTGGAAAACATAGAGAAGAACTGAAATTCATCAAAGTATGTTTTCCTAGGAAAAAAGATCTGTTGCCTTGCCTGAACACATATGAACTGATCCTATAAAAAATCTTGATATACACATGAAAACTTAATTTTCTTCCCACACAAAAATCTGATGAGAATGATTACATTGTTTATTTTTATATAATGAATGTGTTATTTTTAAGTTTCAAGCCACGCAAAAAATAACAATGAGAATAAAACCGTATCCTTAAAAGACATTCTGGCAAACCTGACAGACTTTGTATCAAATTTAGCCTTCTTGTTTTACTTCAAGTTCTGCTTATTTCCAATGAGCATCCCTTTCCAGTCCTATTTTCTGTATCAAACTCACAGGTAAACAAGAGTCACAAAATCAGTTCTGAGATACGAACTTTCACCTGTGCTACACATTTTCCAATTCCAAATTTACGACCTTTACTGTTTCTTACCAAATGTCAAATAGTTCTGTTCAATAACTTTTCAGAATCATCCAAGATAATTTCTAATGAACATTACGTGTCAGTTATGGGATTCTAGCTTTCTGTAGCAATATCACTTTCTCCTAGATAACATTTGTAACAATTTTCATATTTAGCCTTAATGCATTATGTAGTAAAACAGAGCCAAAAACGCTTTCACGTATATGTGATGGGAATTTTTTTAACACTGGTATTTTATTATAGGCCAACAGCATGTGCAGACTTTGTTTTCTTTTAATGGTTTTGCTAACACCTAGTGTTTTGACTCCAGAGTGACCCACATAGTGTGTCACGCGCTACTGCCCTCACATCCAGGACAGGGGTCGAACTCACCTGCATTGCTCACTGGAGCCCTGTCTCAGCAGGGGCGAGCGCACGCCGGGCGCCCTCCCTTCCTGCAAGTTCAGCTTTCTCTTGGTACTGGACGGCGGGTGGCTGAACGTGTGCGCCCGTCTCCGGAACTGCGGGGAGTCGGAGTCCTCCTCTGGGAAGGTGTGCCAGCCCGAAGACAAGGGCGAGGCTGGCGGGGTCCCCGGAGGAGAGTCCCCCGGGGAGCAGTCCTGAAAGGCAAGCACACGTGAGGGTCTTCTCTCCTAACAGGGGTCATGACAGACCTGCCGACGCCCAGAGCTCACGAGGGACCCGGCGCCTCGTCTCCTGCTGCAGTCATCGCAAACCACATTGCCGCTTCTACGCCGTCTCCCCACAACCCCTGTCTTCTGATCAGCAACTGTAAGGCGGCATCCGTAGAGACAGGCCAGAAAGTGAAAGGAGTGATGACAAAAGGTGTTCTCTGCCCTGGCACTTTGTGGTCAAAGGTTGCAGCATTTCCTCACTGCTAACTCAAAGATGAAAAGACATCATGACCAAAAGAGGGTGGAGTCAGGGGGTCCGTATCTCCAGCTTCCGTGACATCTCTGACGCCTGCTTCCTGTAGTGTCTCAACAACAGCACAAAGCCCAAGAGGCCCGGCCTTCAGGAAGGGCAAACAGAGCCGGTTAAGTATCCTCCCTCTTTGTGGATGCGTCTCTCCAGCTACATACTGCCCGAGGTACATTTCTTTTCAAAGACATGAAAAACAGGAAAGGAATGAAAAGCGAGCAATGCTGGAATGCATCTCATTTTGCACGAGTGGACGTCATAAATCTCCCAATTTAGACAGGTATGCTGTTGATGCTCTCCAAAGGGGCACCACTGGAGCATGCTTGTCTTGATAAACATGGGTTAGGGATAACAGACTCAGGGCAGGCCTAAATCTGCAATCCCATCAACTTATAAAGCTTAGTTTTAAAAAAAAATTACTATTTTCCATTTAAAGAAAACAAAGGTGGCACATGCTCAGGTGACATGTTGCAGGATACAGGAAACAGGAAACCAAACCCACTGACAACTGTTCAGGAGATAAAGAGCCTAATGCTGCAGTTAAAATGATAAAAAGTGGGGGGAGGGGGGGAGAAGGCACATGGGAAGAGAGCTACAAACAGATCACCGTACAAGTACAGTAACTACATGGCTCATTTTTATACAGCTCTGTATCAACAGGTGCCCAAATACTGCCTCCAACACATGCCACCTCCAGGCTGAGAACCACATCACCTAGGTTTTCACAGACAAAGTGCAGTCTGAGGAGTTCTGTATAAATCTAGAACACACGGAGATACAGATCAGCTTGATGTGACAGTTAGGCTGTATGGGATATGTTCTATCCCAGTGTGAGAAAGCTTAGCCAAATGAAAAGCAACATAAATAATAAAAAATAAATGATAAATAATAAATATCCAGAATAAAAGAATAAAGCTTCAAATACTTAATTTTCAAAAATTCACAAAGGACTCATAATAAAATAATATAGGCACTCCTATTACCATTAACAGTGTGGGTTTTGGCTGAGTTGCTATCAGTAGTAAACAAAGGACTTGTGATTAGATACCTTTTCTGAAGCAAGACTGTTGGACCGTTCAAAGCTGTCCACGCTCCCAAGCCGGCCTCTCATTCTGTTAGCTCCCTGGGTGAAGGGAATGAAATTAAATCTTTCAGATGGTTTGAAATGTGGCTTCAAAACTATAAAAGGCAGTTGAAGATTACATCTTGGTGTTAGCATTAAGTAGATCCTTTTGTGGTTACTCAAATTTGTTGGCAGTATTAACAGCCGTAACAGGCACAGAACATGAACTACCCTCAGTTCATCACCACTATTTCTAAATCAGTTGTTAGATAACTAGATATTCAGACCAAGCTTTTTGCAGTTACTTTTGGTTACAAAGTTGAATATTATTCATCTATTAGTTCAGTGAAAACCTCATTAAATCTGTGTCTCATTCAGTTATATACCAATGTGGAAGGTACAGCAAAACAAACCAAGAGAGTTATAAAGGAGTTTAATACACACCTCAAGTACAAACAGCATAATTCATGTAACAGGATTATAAATAAACATAGGTTAAACACAAACGAACCAAAAAGGGAACTGTATGCTAAAATGTATGGATAGGAGGGCAGAGGTCATTCATTATTCCATAATGCAAAACTCCCTCAATACATTATCCCAAGGCAGACACTGTGACACAGCAGGTTAAGCCACTGCTTGGGACACTGCATCCTCTATCAGAACACCAGTTCAAGTTCCAGCCACTTTGCTTCAGGTCCAGCTCCCCAGTAATGTGCCTAGGAAGCAGCTGATGTGGGCAACTGTTGCTCCCCCTCTTCGTGGAGGAGCAACACAGGACCCTGCGCTGTTCTTTCGTCTGCTCGGCCCTCCCCGGGTTTGCTGCTGGTTCTTCCCGGGTTGGCTACTATCCCTTCCACCTCCGTGGAAGGGCAGTTCCCCCTGGCCACATTCCCCACTTCCGCAGGGGAGCGGCACACCGCCGGCCGGCTTTCTCGGGGGCTGCACGGGTGTTCCTTCAGCTAGATGTTCCCCATAGATGTTCCCCATAGATGTTCCTGGTGCATGCCGTCTCTCTCCTCCTTTATAGTCCTCCTCCGCCAATCCCAACTCGGCTGCCCACACGCCGAGTACGCTGCTCTCCTCCAATCAGGAGCAAGTCCTACAGTTTATTAGTTGAACTGGAGGCAGCTGTGCGGAAGCTGTTTACTTCTCTCCCAGCGCCATATTGTGGGAGAGCAGATGCATAGAATAAGTCCTAATTCCAGTAACTCAGTCTAGTCCGGTTTGCTCCCCACAGGCAACTGAGAATTTCTGGCTTCCAGCTTCAGCCTGGTCCAGCCCTAGCTCCTGCAGCCAACTTGGGAGTGAACCACTAAATGGAATCTCTCACTCTTTCTCTCAGGTGAGTCTGTGTGTGTGTGTGTGTGTGTGTGTGTGTGTGAGAGAGAGAGAGAGAGAGAGAGAGAGAGAGAGAGAATCCCTCTGTCATTCTTTCAAGTAAATAAACAAACACATACACTTATCTTCAAAAAATCAATTTCACACCAGAGGTCTGTCAGTGTGCATCAATATTGGTGAATTTGTTATTGATTATCTGCTCACATAGTTCAAAGGTGGGCAGTTTATAGATGATCTAAGAAAGAAGGACCTAAGACATCATCTCATCCAATGCTCTCACAAGGTATCCGAAGAAACTGAGGCAAACTGCTGAAGAAAAGAGGTTACAAAGGCAGGCTGGGAACCACATCACCTAGGTTTTCGTAGACAAAATGCAGTCTGAGAAGTTCTGTATAAGTCTAAAACACATGGACATACAAATTAGTTTGATGTGACAGTGTCTGAAAAAATTTTTAAAAGGTACAATATTCTCATAGTACTTCAGTTTTTTAAAAATTTATTTGAAAGGCAGAGTTATAGAGAGAGAGAGGGAGAGACGCGGGGCAGGGTGTCTTCCATCTGCTGATTCACTCTCCAAATGTCCAAGGCTGGGCCAAGCCAAAGCCAGTAGCCAGGAGCTTCTTCCCAAGCACTTCAGCCATCCTCTGCTGCTTTCCCAGGCAAATTAGCAGGGAGCTAATGAACTGGAGCATCTGGGACTCGAACCAAGACCCATATGGAACGCCAGCACTGCAGGCGGCAGCTTAAGCCAAGCCGGCACCAGTACTTCAGTTTTAATATTTGTCCCCATATGTTCACGGGTTTAATTTTTAGGGGAAAGAAGATTATGTTTTTTTTAATACTTGTACAAATCTTCAAAAGTCAAACTGTGCAATCAACTTATAAACAACTTTCTGAATCCTACTCCCAAAAAGCAAACCAGGAAATGATTTATCTTGATGCTTCTGAGATACAATCCCTTGGCCGGCGCTGTGGCTCAATAGGCTAATCCTCCACCTGTGGCGCCAGCACCCCGGGGTTCTAGTCCCGGTCGGTTGGGGCGCCGGATTCTATCCTGGTCACTCCTCTTCCAGTCCAGCTCTCTGCTGTGGCCCGGGAAGGCTGTGGAGGATGGCCCAGGTCCTTGGGCCCTGCACCCGCATGGGAGACCAGGAGAAGCACCTGGCTCCTGGCTTTGGATCAGCACGGTGCGCTGGCTGCAGCACGCAGGCCGCAGCGGCCACTTGGGGGTGAATCAATGGAAAAAGGAAGACCTTTCTCTCTGTCTCTCTCTCTCTCACTGTCCACTCTGCCTGTCAAGAAAAAAAAAAAAAAAAAAAAGAGAGAGAGAGAGATACAATCCCTGTATCTGCGCACTTTAGATACTGTCTATTCCTACTCTGTAAGTTGAGACTGTTTTTTTGGAAAGGCAGAGGGAGAAACAGAGAAAGATCTTTCATCCTCTGGTTCACTCTCCAAATGGCCACAATGGCCCAGTCTGGGCCAGGCTGAAGTCAGGAACCAGGAGCTTCATCTGAGTCTGCCTCATGAGTGGGGGGTCCCAAGCACATGGGTCATCTGCCAATGTTTTCTCAGGTGTATTAGCTGGGAGCTGTATCAGAAGTGGAGTAGCTGAGACTTGAACTGACACCCATATGGGATGCCAGCATCACAGGTGGTGGCTTTACCCCTGCCCCAGAAACTGAGACTTCACTCTTCTTAGTTCATTTTCCCCTCCCAACGTTCATACCAACACTTCTCTCTTCTATGTCATAAATTTCAGTTAAATCAGTATTTTGTGCTTGGATTATTCTAACTTTGTAAACACTGTTTGCAACAGAGCTCCATATTCTTGCTATGATTGTACCTGATTACATCTCACATCTTGTGGATTTCATTTTCCACAAAGTTAATGACTACTTCTGCAACTACATATTGCAAAACACTCCAGCAGATCACAATACGATCAAGTATCACATGACAGTATTTTTTTTATCTTGTTCTTTGAGCTTTCCACAGTGGACATTTCTGTTGTCTTGCTCTAACATGGACTTGTTGCAATTTAGACTTGCTTTTTACAGATCCTCCTAATAGGGGGGTACTTGAAAAAGTTTATAGAAAAGTGGAATTAAAAGTATTTTATTTTTGTGCAAAAATTTTTGGAAATCTTTGAATATAAGGGTTATTCAAAAACTTCATTGGTTATTACACCTAGTATGAAAATAGTATACATGAATTTCTAAAAATTTCTGCACCAAATGAACCTATAATTCCATTTTTCCATGAACATTTTGCAGTTCTCTCACATTTTCCCTCATCATCAACCCAGAAGTTTCCTGTGACCCTCTCTTCTGCTGGAATTTCTGCTTCCTTGATCCTGAGTCTTCCTCTTTTTTAATGTACTTCCTCATTTTGGTGGTGTACACTGTCCAGGTGCTTTCTGAAAAAGGGACAGTGGGAAGTCATTTCTTGAAATTTACATATCTATAAATGTTATTATTCAATGCTTATATTTTATTAATAGCTCAGCTGAATATAAAATTCTGGTTGGAAACTTTTCTTCAAAATATATTAGCATCACTTAAGTGTCCTTTATTTCTGAAGTCTAATACCATTATGATTCTTTAGCCTGTGTATATGACCTGCTATTTCTCTTTGGAACAAAAACTAAGTTTACCCTTGGGCATTCTAAAATTTTGCAACAGTGTACCCTGGCATCTGGTTTTATTCAGCTTTATTGAAAGTGGTATTTTCTGAGTGCAATAAATTTGGAAACCCATGCACATTAGATTTAAGAGTGTTGTAAAATTATTTCTGAAAATTTCTTGCATTTTTTTTCTGGAGTTCCTACCATTTCACTTCTTTTTTTAAGATTTATTTATTTAAAGGTAGAATTATAGTCAGAGAGAGAGAGAGAGTTTTCCATCCATTGGTTTACTCCTCAAATAGCCACAATGAACAGGAGCCTGGAACTTCATTGGGTCTTCCAAGTGGGTGGCAGGGGCCTGAGCACTTGGGCCATTTTCCACTGTTTTCCCAAGCACACTGACAGGAAGCTGGATGAGAAGTGGAGCAGCTAGGCCTCAAACCAGCTCTCATATGGGATACCAGCATTGCAGGCAGTGGCTTAACTCACTGTGCCACAATGCTGTTCCCTACAATTTGGCTTTTAATTTTTTATCTTGTTTTTCTATTTTATATTTCTTGGTAATCTTTCTGTATTATCTGAATGATTTTTGACTACAGTATTCTACTCTTCCATGACATTTTCCCTTTTATGTATAGTATCACAATGTTTTAAGAATTCTTCGCTGTTCTCAGTTGATTGTTTTATATTTATGGCATCCTATCTTGTTTCATAAAAGCAATATATTTATTCTTATACATATGTATTATGCATAGTTTTCTATATGCATTGGCTCCCAATGCAACAACTAAATCAATAATAAAATGTGGGATGGGCATTTGGTACAGCAGTTAAGATGCTGCTTGGGTTCACTACATCCCATATCAGTGTGCCTGGGTTTGAGTCCTAGCTCTGCTTCCTATTCCAGCTTCCTGCTAATGCATCCCCCAGGAGCAATCAGGTAAAGGATCAAGTCCCTGGGGTCCCTGTCACTCATATGAGAGATTCAGACTGAATTCCAGGCTGCCTGACCCAGCTCTGGTTGTTGCAGGTCTTCGGGAATGAACCAAATGGTAGATTCATCATATTCTTTCCTCTCTCTCTCTCTCTCTCT